GAGTGCTTTTCACTCACCTCATAGTTCTAGCCGACCTGTGACAATGAGACTGTCACAGGTCGGCTCAGTAGATCGGGAGGTGAGCGAACACATACCGGCGTTCGCTCACCTCTCGATCCTGTCACTGCTCTCTGTATTCCCCCCTCCCCGCTCCAATCCTCCAGCGCTGACTGGCGGATCGGACAGAGGAGGGGGCGGGTACAGCTGGCTCTGCCTCTAGATAGGCAGAGCCAGCTGTCAGTCACGCAGCTGGGCGGATCCAGACATAATTGCCGGGATCCGCTTCAGGGTCTCAGTATACCGCGAGCTGTCGCTCGCGGTATACTGAGTTTAGGGTGACGGGAGGACGCTAGTTTGTGTCCTCCCGTTACCCTAAGGAGAACTATGGGGAAAAGCCTCAACCCCATAGTTCTCCTTTTAAGGCTTAACTTTGGGCTATATTTTTAATGCCATTCCCCCTCCCCCCCTCCTTTCAGTGGTAAAAAAAAAGAAAGAAGCTCTGGCTGCAGTACTCTCTGGTAGTCTCCATGCAGTACACTGTTTGCGCCAGAAGAGGTTCCTAGTCCTCCACCCGTCATCATTCAACCCAGAAGACTGAGGACATACAGTGAAGATAGAGTGTCATGGGCCCACCCCTAAAGGGCATCCTGCATTTACTGTGTAATGCTGCAGCAAGAAGTGCTAATATCACGTCAGCGCTGCTCTCTGCACCACCTGACCTGCCAAAAGACTCCCAAAATAGAAAAGTATATAAATAGCATTAAGTGATACTGGTTGCAACCTTCAGGGGGAGGGGGAGCACTGGGGTGTCAGGGTCTGAGCCCGGATACAGACTTTAAAGCTAAATTCTAGAATAAGCAAATATTGACTATGTAAAGAGGTGTGTGCGTTCTTCCTTGAATCTAGGCTGGAATGCATTTTTGGAGGACTTTGAACTCCCAGCTCTGCCGGGTGGCACAGTACAAGCATCACAGGCTGGGGCCGGGGTAATTTTTTTCCTGGGCGTTCTGTTTTAGTGCTTGAGGGGGGGGGGCTTGCAAAATAAAAAAAGCAGTCCTTCCATTCGGCACGAAAGGTCCACTTTAGAGAAAACAGTTCTCGCACTGTGACTGCTTTAGATTGGGGGAAATTGCTCTGAACACGAAATGGTTAAAAGCCACACAAATGAGTCATGCATAACATTCTGTAATGTGTGCCATAGAGACCTGTGACCACAATGGACGGGTTCAAGGCTGCGGAGGCGCATTGTATTCTCTGTCACACAATAGACATGAGAGATACAGACAATACAGACTGCAAAGTGATATTTTCAGACATGCCAACGAAGTCTCAATAATGTAAAGTGAAAGGGAAGGATTTCAAACACATACAAATCCTCTCAGTGTGTAATCCTGCAATGGTCCGGATTTACCACAAGGTGGCAGCGCAGCATTTGCAATGCAGCAGGTTGGACCTCACTTCTCTGAAAGTGAATTCAGCTTGGAGATGAGCGTAGACTGTTAAAACATAACTCCAGGCAAAGGCGTGTGCAGGGGTGTGCCAGGGCACACTCTAATCACCCCGATCGCAACAGCGGGTGCCATGTTTTTAGTCACTGAGCTGGTGGAGAAATCATATAAAAGGTCTTTCTTTGAGCAGCTCAGCGATACAGAGAGCAGCAGCACTTGCCACTTACATTCCTCACATAACAGCCACAGTCCTTGGTGTCTGGGAAGCTGCGAGGGAACGTGGCTGCGGCTTTCCATCCAATCAGGAAGCCAGGCGGGTGGTCACATGACCACCTGTCAGGCTCCCTGCTTCATTACTGCACCTCTATACTGTATGCGTTTTCACTTTTGTGTGCACACCCTAATGGCATAATCTGCACACCTTATGACTCCGAGATTTTGAAAAGTTAACCCTTGCAGTGGGGCTAATCCCACACTGCAAAGGGTTAAGTGCTCCTTTTGTCTAGGGAGCGAAAATAAAGATATACTCACCCAATCCTCGCTCCCCACTGGGTGCTAGACCGGTCCCTGCAATCTCTTCTTCCCTGGACTCCGGCAGTTTAAGAATCCATGATGTCATCGCATCTAATACAATGTATTAGATCTGAGTACGCCAAGAAACATACCACAGCTGGAGCGGAGGGGGAGAAAGGTGAGCGGTCTCTGCCACAGGACTGGGGATTGGGCGAGTATTCCTTCTGTATTTTCGCTCCCTATACAAAACAAGCAGTTAACCCTTTGCGGCACCGTTCACATCTGAGCGTTTTCTTGCTGCTAGCTTATTAAAGCATGCGAGCTTTCTTTTGGGTAGAACTGCACGTTTTAACTTATTTCTTCGCCTAGCACCGGTCTCCGCCTCCTAGTGACTAGCTTTCCATTGGCTAAAACAAAAAACACCCAAGCCTGAAAAGTTATTTAGTGACCGTCTTACCGCTTCTCTTGGCATTCTTCCAACAAACGATTCCTGTAATGAGGCAGACGAGTCCCAGCGCGAAGACCACCGACGCGACACTGATCTTAATGATCTGGATGTTGGTCAAGCCGTGCTCTGCTCAGTCAGGAGGAGGGTGGAAGGGAAACATAAACAATGAAGATGAAGATACATTATGTTCATGAGAATCTCAAACTATAGAGAGTAAAAGTACATTCAATGACCTCATACACAGAAATGTTCTTGTGGCCCTCAGCAACCAATCAGGTTCTCCCTTTTATGTTTGCAAGAAAGATTTGTACTTCCCTTAGAAGGATCACGAGAGCCCCGTCTGCCGGCTGCACATCAACATACAGACTTTTCCAATGCAACATTTTATATTTTGCAATCACTAATTTACACAGCCTCATACAATGTTATGATTACATTAGATGTTAGGTAAGCCCGCACACATTTCTATTTTTTGTGGCCCCAACTAATTCTCCCTGTAGTGGCTGGCAGCATCAACTGTGACAATATGTATCACTGATCTTTAAGGAGAACTATGGGGGTAAGTGTTTTTCCCCATAGTTATCTTAAGGGTCACGGGAGGACATAAACTAGCGTCCTCCCGTCACCCAAACCGCCACAGCCGGGACAGATCCCGACATTACTGATGAGATCCACCCAGCTGTGTGAGTGACAGCTGGCTCTGCCTATCTAGAGGCAGAAACAGCTGTACCCGCCCCCTCCCCCGTCCATTCCTCCAGTCAGCGCTGGAGGATCGGAGTAGGGAGGAGGGGAATCCCTGCAGGGAGCCGTGAGTGACAGTCATTGCTCTCTGCAGGGACAGGATCGAGAAGTGAGCGAGCGACGGTATGTGTTCCCTCACTTCCCGATCTATTGAGCCGACGTGTGACAGTTTCATTGTCACATGTCGGATAGAACTATGAGGTGAGTGAAAATCACTCGCCTCACAGTTCTCCTTTAACATGTACAGTCATGGCCAAAAATATTGGCACCCCTGCATTTCTGTCAGATAATGCATCACTTCACGCAGAAAATTGTTGCAATTACAAATGTGAAATCTGATAACTACTAAAGAATTCTGGGGTGCAATGTAGGGCCCAGTGTCAGAAAGTTGGGTCTCTATCAGAGGTCATGAGTCTTACAGCAGGACAATGACCCAAAGCACAGAAATGGTTTCAGACAAAGCGCTGGAGAGTACTGGACTGGCCAACAATGGGTCCAGATCTGAATCCCATAGACAGAGCTCCTGTGGAGAGATCTGAGAAGAGCAGTTGGGAAAAGGAACCTTCCAATGTGAGAGACCCGGAGCCGTTGGAGAAAGAAGAGTGCTCCAAAATTCCTGTAGAGAGGTGTAAGAAACTCATTGATGGTTACAGGAAGCCATTGATTTCAGTTATTTTTTTCCAAGGGCTGTGTTACCAAATATTAATTGAAGGTGCCAATCATTTTGTCCAGTCCATTTTTGGAGTTTTGTGTGGAATGTGACAGATTTGGCTTTTATTTTCCACTTTTTTGTGTCATACCAATACAAACAAAAGAAAGAAACATTAGAATGCCGAAAACATTTGTCATTGCAACTATTTTCTGCGCGAAAAATGTCCGCAGTGCACAGTCAGCAATACAAATCCTGACTTTAACCCCCTCCCCCACTCTATCCACAGCTATGAAATTAGATATTAAAGACACCAAGCAATTACCAATACAAACAAAAGAAAGAAACATGAAAATGCAGAAACATTTGTCATTGCAACAATTTTCTGCGCGAAATGACGCATTATCTCACAGACATGCTGGGGTGCCAGTATTTTTGGCCATGACTGTATGTATGTATAAAGCTATTGTGAAGCGCTGCACAAACTGTTGGCGCTATATAACTCATAGTTCCCCAACAGCTGGAGTACCAAGGTGGCTGTCCTTTGCTTTAATGTAACCCCAAAGTCTCATACTCACCCATCTATGCTCATGGTCGATCACATTTGTGCACCGGATACTCTTCCGTCCAGTCCCTTACTTCTGTGCAGACAAATCCCATTCATTCCTATGTTTATCACCGGTCCCAAAAATAGATGGCCTCTCCATAGAAATGAATGGGAATGGTGCAAGGGACCAGCTAGGAGAGTTTGCAGCAATGGTTGTGCTCTTAATGGCATGCACAGCATGGATCAGTGGACAGGTAAGTATAAGACTTTGGAGGGGTGCTGAGAGAGGGGAGGAGGTAAATAAAAGGATAACAATACAATTCTCCTGGGATATGGTGTTATGGATGCAGTGGAGGAACCCCATTCCCGTTGTCACACTTACTCCAGGTCTTCACTATGGGTGTGTCCAGAGTTGGGTGATTGACCAAACAGGTGTAGTTGTCTTTAGGGAGGAAATTCCTCAAATCCAGGGTCGCCAAAATGCGGTAGGTCCAGTCTCCGGTCCTCACAGCCTCTGTGTAGTTCTTGACCAACTTGTCATTTTTAAACCAAGCTACGCTGATGTCTTGGGGGTAAAATCCCCACACCTGGCAGACCAGCACCGGGAGACTGTCAGGATGTAACTGAACTGGTAAAAAGACCTCCACAGATGGTTTAACTGTCAAAGGAAACAGATACGTGAGTGAGAAACCATATAATAAACCAAAGAATGCTTTATAAACAGTTAATACAAACAGGTGAGTTCAATGGATTATTCATGTGGAAGTCGGATTATTTAAAGCACAGCTCTAGGCCAGATGTTTTTTTTTTTAGTTTCGGAAATATTGGAGGAAGATGCGAGCCTTTGTCAGGTTTGAATTGTTGTTTGTGTCCATGTTAAGAGGATTCACCCTCCATCCTGATGTTACCTCTCAAAAAGTGAGGAAATACAAATGTTTACAGTTGTCAGGAACAGGAAGTAAAGGGAAATCTTCCAACAGGAACATCTGACTTGGTGACAGCCGTCAAAGGTCTGATTTCTGCTTACTTCGGGGTGATTGTCAGTCACTTTTTCAGACATCTCAACTCTCCCGGAAGCTCCGGGAGTCTCCCGCTATTAGATAGCGGCTCCCGGCCGCCCGGGAGAGAAACAATGTCTGCTCTCCAAAACAGGAAGTGAAGAAAAATGTCCGCAGTGGGGACACAGTCAGCAATAAAAATCCTGACTTCAACCCCCTCCCCCACTCTATCCAAAGCTAAGAAATTAGATATTAAAGTCACCAAGCAATTACAGGAAACTGTATAGGAAGCACCTAGAGGGGGGTCGTATCATTTGTTGACAATAAAAAATTAAATATCCGAAAGCAGAAAATGAAGATTTGAAATATAACTGATTTGGCTTAAAAGAAAACTCCTGTCCTGTGAGAATATAAATACATGACATATATCATAGCTACACACTCCATTTTGTAGCTTATATTATTTTTTAGAACTGTCAGTAACATCCGAGGGTGTTCTGTACAATGCTGAGTTACGGCAATCCCCAACAGACTTTATTTCCTTATCGTGGGATTGGCTGAATGCTTTTACTAGTTATAAACTGAACTACAAGTCAAATTCTAGGCATTCTCTGCAATAGTTTGTAATA